GATGCATTGGCTAAACAACTCACATAGGCATTACTCAATTAATGTAGTTTATGTCATAATAAATTATAATCTCACCTACAAAATATTTCAGTAACTTTAGATTTAAGAAATTAATTAAATAATTAAGTWAAAAAAAATATATGCGTAACAATAATTACGAGCATGCGACTCTGATGTTGTGATGAAATCATAACAGCACGGAACAATGCAGAAATCTGTTTTTATCAGATCTGCGTTCAACTATTTAGAACTCATAACAGGCAGTTATAATACAATTTTTTTGTAACAACAATAATAAAACTTGCTGAAATTCATTATTTTCTCCTGATATTAAGCGGGATCATATCAATTATTATTAATACTTACAACATTAAATTAATTTACGAGTATATCTTAAAACACTTTAATATTCATTCAATATTCATCCAATATTTAACTGCTTTTGAACGATTAGGTACCTACAAAATAATTTTAACAACATAACTACATATTGCGTGTGAAATAAATTATAAAATGCATTTACGATTCTTAATAGATCAAAATAGTTATCTCATGATTTTAAAATATTTGTTGTACTTATTTAGAAAAARAAAATTTAATTTTTCAAATGATCATATTATATACCTAACAGTGAGATTAGAAAGACTAGCGAGTACAATTTAATAAAACAGTGCCATAATATCACTTATATAGATATATATAATTATTAAAACTACAAAGTATTATGATTGAAAAAGATGCCATGATTAATGTTTTATATTTTTTGCAGAAAAATAAAATAATAATAATAATTACGATGATATGAGCTTATTTTTCAAAATTACAAATAATTAATCCTAACTACTTACTAACTATTCTAATTTCTAGGTATTGTCTTAAACGCAGAACTTAATTTTAACAATGTATTGCTCCTGAGATATTTTTTTTTAATATTTCAATATACATTAATTAAGATTGAAGATATTATATGCCATCATTTTTTTTTCTGTTAATAATTAAAAACATTGTGCCCATGATGTATATTTCGTTCACTATGTATATCAGATAATTATTTTTCAAACAGATTAGTTTATTGTAACAATGTATCTTACACTAATACTAATACACTATATATCATTTAATTATTTAATTGTTAACCTTAATCTTCTTGTGAGAACCCCTTATTCATGATGTATAGTTTCCAATTATAGAGTTYTTCCAAACAATATAATTTAAATAAAATCCAAAAATTCAATCACCAATCAAAATCCGTTAGTCTAATTATTAGGTACAAACCATGCAAATATACTATCCATGTCGATCTCCATATACAAACAAGTATAAGACACTGCGTTGATGTGTATTGTCTTTAATCACTTCTCACTCACGTGTGCCAGATATTTTTATATATTTTCAGGCATTTAATTATTTATTTGAAACTATTATTGCTTTAAATCGACATTTTTAAAACAACTGGATTATTATAATATAAAATATAACCTGAAAAATTTCAATTTGTGACAGTTATCATCATCATCATTATGTATTAAGTACCTACCTAAGATTTAATTCTTAAATAAAACTGTATTAACCTAAAATACACAAAATTAGCAATTGTAAATAATWATTATTATAAATGTGTTAACTTGTAAGATTGATGTGGGGAGTAATAATTTAATATCTTTAATTTACATGTACTTATTAAGTATGATCAATTAATCATTAGTTGTGTTTGAAATTGTAACTTATTTTATATGATTATACTATAGATACGTATTAAGCATCATTTATATAACTCAAATAACTTCGTGAGTATACAATTGTCTTATTTATTTGTTTATGTTCTCGCATACACTGATAACTAAGATTCAGTTTGACGAAACAATTTTTTTTTGGAAAATTGTCATTTTAGAGTTAAACTAATTATAATTAATCAATTATGTTCTGAACAATTTTTACATAAGTGATTTATATTTTATCAGATGTAAATAGATTTGATTATTTATTCTCACATGCATATTCTATGTAGGCAACTAATACGAACTCTATCATTTGTACGTAAATTATTGATTATTTTATGTATTATAATTATTAATCGCATGTATAACAACACTTACCTATACATATAATCATAATTTGACAATGAAATAATATTATATAATAATAAATAATAATATATTTAGATACAGTGAAACTTTCATACAACGAAATTTTCTGTTTAAAAAATTATTTTTGAGAACCATAACCTTCATTGTTGTAAATATATGTAAATTAATATAAATTAAAATTTTTTTTTATATTAAAGCTTGAACTTTTAAAACAATGTTTCTCGTAAGTTATTCTTATAAGTCAAAAAATCAAAAATACAGTATCCATTTAATAAGCGTATTTCTTAAACCTTTAACCATTTTTTACCAAAATCAAAAAAATAATGATTGTAATGAACTTTTTAAGTCAAAAGTTGATCAAATTGTATGTGAAAGAATAATTATTGTCGATTTGTTGCAATTCAAATTATACTAATCGTAGAGACCCAATATCCGAAATATTTCACTGTTACTTAAATAGAATTTCTCTACACAATGATATATATAAAAAAAATAATTAAACTAATTTTATACTATTTAATTTAATATTTATAGAACTAAGAATTCACATAATTTTCTAAAACATTAATGTAATTGATGAAATTAATAAGTAAAAGATCTTAATCAAATTAATTTTCATTTTTCATTTCTATTTTTATATTAATCACTAAGTGTCTATTTTTATAATACACAAAATCAATCTCACCCCCTTCACATCACAAAATAATTTGATGTACATAAAATGGATAAATTTGTAACCTATGCAATAGAGCGAATTCTGTGGTTATTTATTATGTATCTAAACAACATTCAAATATTTTACTTTYCATATCTTTATTTTATTTTTCTGGATGATGTAAGTACCTATGTAATTTTCGCTCCAGTTGTCACTGCTTAGGTAATGTGGTAAATGATAATGCATGATAATGTAGTGGGCTTGAAGTCTTATTATTAATATTCTAATAGATGCCTTAGTTAAGATTCATGCATTATCAGTAATCACATTTGTTTTTTTTTTCTGTAAAATGTAAAATAAAAGATAGGTCAAGTCATTGAATGTACTTACAAAGGTCATAATTTTGTRAAACGCATACATCAAGAATTATAAATAGTTGATGTGATTGAGAAAAACCAAAAACAACTATTTTGATTAAAATACAAAAATTAATTTTACATTATTATTGCATAATATTTTTGTACGGATGTGTTTTAGAAATACCTAGTTAAAAATACATACATTTACAAATGTTGAATATTAAAATAAAAATCCCTGGCATACATTCATACACAGTTTCATGAACAATATAAATACTTGTGTCTAAATATTTATTAATTGTTATTCTTTAATCAAATTTTATTAAATTTATAATTTGGTTGTATTTTATCTAATCAATTCAAAAGAGAAAAGTCGATTAGGTTATTTTAATATGACAACTTATTAAAACTTTTCATAACTTATTGAGTTATTTTTTTCTTGTTTTGTTAAAATTAATTACAAATAATAAATTTAGTTATTATTAATAACTTTTGTAAACAAAGAAGTTTTTATTTTATTGATTGTCACATTTTTATGTTTTATAAGAACATGGTAAATACATTTTGTTAGGTGTACTTGACCTAAAAACATATTCCCTAATGCATATGATTACAGCTTACACATACCTAATGTTTATCAGCTATGATATTATAAAGCCATTAGTATTATTGCACAGTATACTACAGAAGAGTCTTTCACAATAAAACCTAACATTGACACAACTAGATTGACTAGAGAGGAGGATTAAGTCTAAGAACTCCACTCAATCGTTCGATTTTAACGCATGAATCACAGAGTATCTATCTATGACCACAAGTCACAACAGAAAAAGCACAACCTAATATATTTACTAGATTAAATTTTTTACCATATTGTGTATACAATTTCAGGAATACAGTGAACAACATCTATAGCTGGCGTTTTTCAGTATATTCTATAAGTTACAACTAATCAATATGAAGGATTGTTTCATTATTATACCAATGAGTATTTACAATTTCAATTTTCTTACCTAAGGTAATTCAAAAACACCAAGGTACCTATAATGTCATGCATTTTATATTTTTAAATCGATTTTAAAAGGAATCTACATTTTGTATTATGATGGAAAATAATAAAAGTAATGTATAAAGTTGATCGTATTATTTTTTTTTTTTTAATTTCTTATTATTGTATATTTTTTTACCGTCAGTAAATAATAACCAATTGTGATGGCGAGTATTCATTTATAGGCATTTAAAAGAAATTAATTTATTAATCGATTAATCTATGACATAGTGTTAGGTTTACCAATTTGCAATGTTTGAGTTATTAATTAATGCATAATATAGTCACGTGCGCGTGGGTGACCTTAACGCCAGTGATTTTCCGTTGTTCCTGCTATCTTATGATTATAATCCCATTTAGTAGTAATATAATACACAAACACATATTGGAAATAAATAGAAAAACACAAGAAGGCGCCTTCGCCATAGTCTTGACAACATTTCTGACTGCCTGAGTAAGTATAACAGCCAATAGAAAACGCAATAAATAAATAAATAAATAAACTAGGTAGATATGATCAATTTTCATTAATATTTCAAACACATTTTCTAACATTAATTACTAATGGTAGGTACCTATAACAATTATAGTATTATAGATACTGATAATATGGCAACCGTTAAAATAGTTAGTGCCGAACAGTATACACAATACAATAAAACAKCAATAATGAATATCCAAAAATGTTCACGATTACTTTATGATTAGCATAATAGGTACCTAATATTATATGTTTTTATACTGAATATTATATATTTTTGCTGTCATGAATACGATTGTGATTCCATATTTCGATTTTCACAGCTATACATACGTCGTACATAATATAATTATTAACATATTTTACTCACCCTGAGTTCTACTGTTTGACGAGTCTCAAAATCGGTCAAGTGTGCGACGACGATAAGTGTTGGTGCGATCGAGTATACGACGAGCGAGTGCCGTGCCGTTTGCGCTTCAAACGCAGTTCGAGGATGACGACGACAGCCGGTTACCGACCCCTTCCGCCGTACCCGAAATCACGTTCACTTTCTTCTGTTAATCGCGGTCCATCGATGCAGACAGCAGCAGCCGCGTGTGGTGTAACAAGTCCGTCGGCGGATCGGGGGAAACCGCCTCGCGCCATACGCGTTTGCAGGTGCCGTTTTTTCGTCTCCTTACACGCTCGTGTCCGGCAGCGTTGAAAGCTTGGTGAGGAGTGTGAGTGGGAGAGAGGCGAAAGAGAGAGAGAGGGAAGGGAGATAGATAGAGAGAAGACCGGACAAGGTGAAAAACGCGTTTTGTATTCGTTTTTTTTTTTTACATAACCATCACTATCTTTTCGGTTCTAGTCCCGTTTCAATATACGCTTTCGGATAACCCCACCACCGATACGTTGGCAACAAGTTTATGCAAACTCAACTACTTATTGAATTTTTTTTAAATCATTGCTTTAAGAAAATAAAATTARGWAGAGTAAACCAGGATAAATTTCAATAACTCTGTTTATTTAAAATACAACCGCCAATTACAAAAAAAATCTCAAAACTCTTTTCAAAATTTACTTTATCCTTTTTATATATATTTATATTACCTTTAGTAAAACCTCTCTAAAGCAGACAATAATGATAAATTAAATTATGTCCACTTATATATATCTACAAACAGAGGTTTCACTATATTATATTTATCTATAAGTCACTAGCATTGATATTTTTTTATTGGATTATGTATACTAAAAAAACTAAAATTAAGTGAATTTGGTAAAATCGAAAATGTCTTTTAAATTATAACTGAAATTAATTTTCTACCGCGATATATATGTATACTACATACGTGGGGATTAGATCACTCCATTTTCTACAAAATATGATAATAACAGACATATATTAAAACATTAAAAATACGTATAATTCATCTACAGTCTACGTTTTTCGCCTTTGCTCAGAATCTAAAATATTATTTATCTTAACCACTTTAAACCACCTCACGTATACTCTAATATATCTATTTCGCYGGTATTGTGGATTCGGATCACGGGGATTAGCTAAATGAAGCGTTTTTTGAAAAACAATGAGAGATATAAATCTTAAGAATACCTCATAATTTATATCAAAACGTTGGGGGACGTTACGGTGTCAAAATAKACTATATTTTATTGTATTGACTGATATAAAATAGCTACTTAAGTAGTAAAATAGTATTTTATTAGTTCCTCCCAGTGTATTTTTTTTCGGAGATAGCCAAGACCTTCTTCAGTGGTAAGTATAGYAAGATGTTTGGGTACCTTTTAGAGTACCAAACTGTCCTATGCTACAGTCATCATTGTGAACCAGGTAATATTATCGGTATACATCCTTTCTAATAGTTTCATTAGAATTGTACTAGTATTATAATAAAATTATAAAATAAAATAATATTATAATATGTACATTCTCACCTCAGAGTTCGCTAAATCGTGTAGAAATATGATGAGCTCAAATTTCAAAATGACTGATACAAAACAAAATATTGTGTTAAGAGTACTTTTAATACAACGTATGTTGACGTATAGCACTACTATTTGAAGTATAGAATACAAATACTGATTAACATACATACCAATAAACATACACGGCCGCATGTTAAGCGCGATAATATATTAATTTATAGCGATTTTCTGCGTTAACAAGCAGTATAACGTTTAATTATAAGAGTTATTAGATCTCTTTTTTATTTATTAAATATTAAGTGTATAATGTTGTAGGCTATGTAGAAAATTACTTTGTTTTCAAAAATACTTATTTTTCCTTTGGTATGAGATTTAAAAATTTAATATTTTCAACATATTATTACAATATATTATAAATTAAATACGTTTCGGCTATAATTGAGTCGCTTAAATTTGTATTTTAGTTTACCAGTGAACACCAATGATGTATCGCAGGTTTTACAATGGTAAAAAATTCATATTTCATAGTTGTAATTTTTAATTATAATACCATAGACTGAAATTGTTATGGGTACACGACTTCTTATAAGCTGTTCTTACACTAATTAGAAAAATATAAAAATAATACATAGTAAGGTAGGTAGGTATGCACAATATAGATATTGCAAGTTTAGATAGTGATAATAATTTTAAATGCTTAAACGAAAAGTAACGATTTTATTGAAAGTACTTAATACAAAAAATATTAATCCTAAGGATTTAAAATATTCGTAAGTTGCGATTCTATCGTAAGTACGTATATTATGATCTTCTATATAAATAATACAATTTTTAACTATTTGTAGTTTTACCATTGAATTTATTCATACCATTTTCTGATATATTGATATTGGTTTATAAGTTAACAATAATTATCATCAATAAAATATTATATTATAATATGGTTATATTTTCAAAATAACATTSAGTTTATCATTTGGTATTATCGTCTCCTGATAAAAATATGCTTACCTATGTTGGCGTACCTTATTCACTAGAATTTGGAGCAAAACTTATTAAGGTTAAAATCAATATGCTCACGCTTAGTACAAACTTAACAACCTTATGTATAGGTTCGTTTATTCAAAATATATCAACATCAAAATTGCTTCACGTCCTCAACTTCGTGGAATAACGTTTAATAAGGCTCATAATTTCACGCCACGACAATTTTCTTTCAAAATACATTATCCGTTGAATTCACGCGGTTCTATTAATGTATAGTCATGGACTCATGGTTAACTATTACATGATTAATATCTATAATAAGTGCCGTGTGCACACTGCACAGGCTATTTAAGCACTTCACTAAATTTATTGCGACGGATCCTGCAAAAGGATTATAAGTGGGCTATAATAACTATTAATGATAAATTGAGACCTGTTAATGTTCGTCTTTTCAAATGTAATGACATTGTCACGTTCAAAATAAAAATAATATTATTCGATGCTATCACCGACTATACCATGTTGCCAAATGATTGTCCCCCCTTCCTATATGAAATCTTTGAATGAATCTTCAACTTGAATTATATATACATATACGGTATGATGGCTATAGTCGTTTCATTTTCCTCATAATTTTGTTAGACATTAAATGAAACATCGCAGAAGAAGGAATGTTATAAAATAGTATAAAACATTATATCATACGAGATAGATTCAAAGGTCTCCGTGGTATTTCACAATATATTGTCTGAGCATGTCACAAAAAATATGGTCTCGAAAGTGCTAAATTAAAATATGGACCAGTTTCAGTACAACTCCATAGTCTGTAATCAATTTGATCATATCGGTATCTACATGTAATAACAATTTATTTGTTGTATACAATTTAAAAAGATAATACTGCACTAAGAAGCTAAAATGATGAGCAACGTCTATTAGATATTGAAAACAGTCAAAAAAAATATCGGAGACTTGATTTGTGGTCGACCACCTGGTAATATAAAATAAACTTTATTTTTACATGGAAAAATTTCACGAAAGAAAACATTTWCCAAAACCTCCGTGAAATCTGCGGATAAATTTAAATTTAAATCTCCACCGTATAATAATTATCACAAGAGCCACACAATTTTTCGGTGTCCGTCGTTTTTGAATGAAATATCATGTAAATTATTTCGAGACCACCAGAATTGAAAAATAAAATATCGTCGTCGATTTATGACAAATATATTAAAGTTTTTTAAGCGTCCGTAAACTGCAATAGTGTAGAATATACAAGTATAGAAGTAAAATGAAGTAATTTTTGGCGTTGTGCGTCTGATCAAATACAGGCTGTTACATATCGTATCACGTAATACTTCTTGTGCCTTGTATTATTATTATACTTATGCGATGTGGTATACATCACCGCGGGTGACGGAAATTATTGCCAGTAAACACGAATACGATAGCAGAGAGAGACGACGACGACATTACACACATGCTTCACGTCAAAACGTAGACCGCTGAATATTATTATCGCAGCAGCATCCATCATTATAAAAATGATATTGTCCCATAAAAATGATATGCGACGACGACGTACCGATTTCGTTGTGTTTTACTGCGTATGCCTGTAAAAACTAGATATATTTGAGTTGGTCAACTAAAATCGCATTTGTCGTATAGGTACTTAACATTATATTATCATAGTAATACAACCACAGCACAATGATAGCTACTTGAAATTCGTCGGTCCGGTTTGGTGTAAAATTGTCTCACATTATCCCGAACATGAACCATATGAATGATATTATTTTGCGTTTTATAATTTCCGGTTTGAGTGAGAAGAATTTCTAGGTAATTACTAATTATAAATCTATCACTCGGCTATGTTGAAAGCCAATTGTGTTTCGTATACCAATAATGTGGTAAAAATCAAAATGTTATCAAAAATAAAATTTTGCATCAAACATGGATATGTTTTAAGATTTGTAATGTGATGCCTCACAACATGAATAATATTATATTATTATCAGCGGTACGTCAGAGGTTCACACAATCACACGTAATATGGCATACATAGGAAACACATGCACAAATTAAAAATAATGTTTCATTTTTATTTAAAATAGGTTATTACTAGAGAAAGTAAATATTGTTAATATAAACAGTAAATTTAAATATTTTCTAACTGAAATATAGTTGCTTACTTAATTAAATTATAGTAACTACGTATAAACTTTTATTTTTATTACATATTTATTTATGTTCTATGGTGAAAAAATAAATACAATTTAATGTACATGACAATGAAATTACAATGTTATTTTTTTTTGAGAATTAAAATATTAATTTTTTGTCGAATAGTCGAATATTTTTAAATAAATAATTTTCAATAAAAGTATTTACCTGTTTATAATTTAAAAATATACCAAATTTTATTTGTAAAAACTAAAAATTCATAATATTTGGTTATATTACATTATACTTATTACAACTTGAAATTATAAAATCTGTATTAGCAATATAAATATCATAATTCTTAAGATAACATTAAACTTAGGTAGTTGATAATTTAAACAGATTGGTGRAATAGGTACCAATCAGATAATTATCAACGAATAATAAGGAATTTCTGTTCTTAAAAAACTTAATAATAACTTAAGTACCTAAGTAGTAGATACCTACTATCATAAATTGTCA